AATCTAAGCATTAGCTAGTAGATTTCTTCTCATATTTAACTAATTTAACTGAAGTCCAAGAAAGCTGTTCTTACAAAATTAGACTGTACTGAAACTAAAGCAACTTCAGGGAGCTAAAGTGTATGATAAGCTATGCACTTCTGAATCTACAGAGACTGTTTTATATTAACTCCTACTATGCACTGCACTAGGCTATCACACAGCAAAACAAACACTCATCCTGCCTGAGGCTGGCAACCTCAAAGGTTTTTCAGCCACTCCGTCTGAAGCAATTCAAATGTTTTTCTAAATCACACCTTGAATCCTCCAAACCTGCGATTTCAGTAGGATGGGGTTTTCTTTCAATTTTACATATTAACAATAAGTAGTTTGATTTTGAAACCCAAACATTGTCTTCTTAAAAGGAAAGCACAGAATAACAGCATCATGACATGCCTGTACCATAAAAAGATAACTTACATTGTAGACAAAGAAACTAATGTGCTGAAGGCTCCAGGGGTGATAGTGCTGATGTGATTGTCATACAGAGAAAGAAGCCTCACTGAGCTCAGTCCAGCAAAGGTGTCATTGTTTATACAGCTGATAGAGTTGCTCCTCAGCATCCTGCAAAGATTAAAACAGTGAATTAGGAACTACTGGGAGGTGGTACAATTTCAGGATAGGCAGTCCCTTATCTACGGCATCGACAGATGCTTTGGTAAGCACTGTACTCTATTTTTATTGATTGCTGAAGCACAACACAGCTATAGGAGGGCTAGATTCATGTAAACATTGTCTCATGAATTTAATACACATTTCTACCACACAACATTAGAAGCTGATGGGAGCTCCACATCTGAAAGTAGTATGCAATTAAAGTTATGAATAGTGGCAAACTTAAAATAAAAACTAAAGTCTTAATTTAGTAAATATCTGAGACTAAGTGAAGATGTATTTCAGAGACCAATTGAGAAAGACTGCCAGAAATGTGTGACAGTAACAATACTAGCTGCATTACTTCTACTCCTATCACGGATGTTTTTTGTAATCCACACTGCAAAAGCATGGAAGGAAACAGCATCCTCAGCAGAAATCAAGGAATAGCCTAGGAAAGATTTCCAGACTTAACACAAGCTCTGAAATGTCATTATAATCATTAATTGACAAGACAGAAAGCAGTAACCATCCTATAAAATGGTCTTTGCTCACTGCTTGTACCAGATGAATCAGTACTGTGTTTTGGAAGATACATCTCTCTGAGTTGTTATGGTAACAATGAACTCGATGATAAAGCCCAATTAATCTGAAAGACTGTACTATCTTGTTTCACTCCATAGCAAAAAGGCTCACGTGTATTTGTTACACTGCATGCCAATCAACAGCTGGGTCTGTAAACATCACTACACAGTTGTGATATTCCTACTTAGGTGAAAAATTATTCAGTAATTAAAGCATATTACCAAAAATCCACAAAATATATGCAGCTCATGATGCTGTTCCAGTGAATTGATCCTTCAAATTGAGGAGGGTTAATTCCTTGGTATCAAATTCAGGCAGTGAACAATGAAAATTCAGACTCCCTTAGAAGTCTGGATTTAAATCTCAGATTAGTGTCCGCCAGTTGGGCATTTAGATGTTACATCAATAGATACTTGAAAAACACCAAAGAGAAATTAGATATGGCTGGGAAGAAATTCACAGTGTAATCACAAACACTCAGTGTTTAAGACCTGAACATTATGTTGCTCTTGCATTACTGTTCTCTACACACAGTTACCATCCCAGGCACTATGGCCTCCATTGTTTTGGTATTGCAACTGGGGTGAAACTATGTCAGAAAAGAGTCACAGGGCACAGAGACATGCACCTTACACACGGACTACTAAGCTGCCTGAAAGCCAGGTCAAGACCACAAGCTCTGAAATGAATAGGGTAGTAAATAAGAGAAGTAAGGCCCTTAGTGGCTTAGTAGCAGTGGGAAACTTTTTCTCAATTCTGCATATAAAGTATCAGGCAGTAGTACTGCAAGATGGGATGACTGAATTTGGATGCCAATATTTCATGAACAGTGATGTATTACATTTCAGGAAACATACAGTCTTTTAGAAACTGGACCATGACCCTGTCCACTGTGGCCTCTCTGTAAAAGACCACAATTTTAATGCTCAAAGTCAATTAATGGACAGAAATATATATCTCTCAAGCTAAAACCTTTGGTTTCATATCATGGTTCACCATGCACTGTGTGCCCTTCCTGAAGGAAAACTTATACTTACAGATCCTCCTATCACGCTGTGTATATTTAGTCTGCTTTATCAGCTAGGGGAAAATGTAGGTCAGGTCAGCAGGATAGCTTGAATGTTAAGCATCTTTTTATTAAAAAATGCTGAATTTTGTTTAGGAGCACTGCCACAGGCTGCTTTACAGTATAAAAATTAATTTAGTATCTATGGCCAGTATTTTCAAATCCCTTAATAGAGTGCATACATTAAAGAACAGATGGCTGTAATACAGAAAAAAAAATGTTAAAGGAACAGCAAAAGAAAAGTTCTGTATTTGCCATTACAGACCAAAGTCTTTGAAGTAAAACTTGGATTTCTTTTTACACTTGAGTAAGGGCTGAATTAATTGTGCCATGATACTTTGCAACATAAGTATTTGCTGCTGATGAATAAATTGCAGGTTTTAAATTCATTTTGATTCCTAGAGTCTATTTCCTGACAGCATCCACCTAGTCAAGTGCTTTCTTTCTACAGCAGGGAAGACTCTGCAAGAGAGGTATTTTTCCCGTACAGATCATACATATCGTCTGGCACAAGTCTTTGCTGTCACCAGAAACCTAGCCCCTGACTGCTTCTCAGGATGGTGGGTGGGGTGGATTAGACACGATCTTGAAACCTTGTCAGTGATCCTTCTTCGAATATAATTTTTAACATGAAAATAAATTGTTAAGTACTACGGGTTTACGTATAAGTGTTAGTTCTCAGAAATAAATTACAAAGGTTGTCTAAGCATAAAAGTAATATCAAGCTGATTTCTTATGCATTTGGGCTCTACGCCTCCTTCACACTCTCCCCAACCACAACCACATTAATAGTATACTTACACATAATTTTTATGGTTCGTGGTGTGGGCCAGAAAGACAAGGCTGTACCTGTGCTCGTGGCCTACTACACCTGGTGGAGAGTGGCCAGCTATTTTCTGTCAGCAGGACCCGTAACAGTTTGGTTATACCTGCCTTAAAGTTGCTTAGCTGTACCAGTTTTGGTGGCAGCTATAACTCTAACCTTTCTTCTCTCCCTACCTACTGATTTCATATAGTTTGTAGGAGATTAAAAATCTTTTAGGCTCCTAGCCTCCTCTGAGGTTTGGTTTAAGTGGGCCAACAATTCCAATTTGGGTGGAGGTGGAGTGGGAGGATGGACTAATAGATAGCAAACATGTTCCTACATGCCTTGTTTCTATAGTCAATAACAAAATAAAAGTATTAAATGATTAAAAGTGCCCAAATTTGACCCATGATAGTTTCCACATCATGTTACTCCTGAAATTATTGAAAACCTGTTTTTTCACAGAAATAGCAGATAAATCTCAAACCTATCCAGGACTAAAAATATATTGAAGACTTCATGACAGTGATACAAGACCCTGCCTTGGAGCCTGTTGTCTAGTAACAGATATTTTAGGAGGCATTGCTGAACTTGAGCGCTCCCACTCAACTTACAGAGGAACAGAGAAAGACAGATCTTTGCACTTACAATGTCTTCAGCCCTGTGAGGCCTCTAAACATCCGTCCGTGCACTGATTCCAGTTGATTCTCTGTCAGAATCAGTTCCTGCACTCCTGAAGCTCCGTCAAATGCACCTTCTCGGATCTCCTTGATCTTATTGTTGCTTAGATTTCTGGAAGGACACAACCAGTCACAATAAGAAAATTATTAGTGTTTTATTCCAAACATACGTCATCACACTGGAAGGAGGAAGATAGGAAGAATATGTGCCTTTTAGTGGTTATCTAGAGAGACATTCATTTAGCAAGGAGAGCATACAGAAGTTCAAAAATATACCTACTGTGCTTACAAATAGCTCCCCGTCACTCATCAAAACCACAATTATATCAGATACATCAAAAGTATTTAAATTAATGGAATTACCAGCTCTTACACCTCATGTCATTCTTGCTTATATGGGTCTTGCAATAAGTGGGGGGCTCTAACATCCGATTTATGTCCTTGAAGTTATTGACCATGCTTGGGACTGGGTGCTCATCCGGCAAGAACCAGTTAATGTTCCTGCCATTGAAATAGGTATCACACACTGAAATATAGAGCACTTCTACTTAGTGTACCAGGGCCTTTACTCTTTTTAAACTCAACACTGGAGTAACATAAAACTGTGTGACTGCATGTATTTGACACAAATTTTAATACGTGCACTCATGAACTCCCAGGCACTTATATGTAACACCACCACACAAAATGAAACGAGTATCACTTAATTCTCAATTCACAGCTACTGCAATACACAGCATTATTTTCTAAATATTTACTCTGCCTATACAGTCTCAAGATGTTTGCTTATAGATCAACATTGGAAAACTTCAATCTACACAGTCAAATGAAGTTCTGATGAAAAGCAAAATTAATCTTTTGAATATTTCATATTTGTGAAAAACCCAGTGAATAGAAAACTTCTGAATGATAAAATGCCATTAGAGATACATAAAAGTAAATGACATTTGATTATTTAAAGAATTTATATAAAAGGCCTTATGCACAATAAAACGTTGGGCCTCAGTCCTTCAAGCATCTCCTATGCTGCCCTGTATAGATGATGATGAATAATCCTGTTTGTTTAGATTTGACAGGAAACACTATTTTTTCTTTTAGTGTCTACAAAAAAAAAGTAAAAGATACGCTCTTGCTCACAAGAAGATGCCAAATTCCAACACTATTACTCATACTGAATAGCACATTATTCCAGAAAAGATCCCAGTACACATGCAGCATCACTAATAGTTTCAAAATCCAATTCCAGGTGATATAAAACAAATGACAAGGTATCAGATTAACACCTGGGCTACTCTCCTCAGAAGAACAGGCAATCTTGTTGGGATAAAAGTTGACAGAAGACATGGCAACAAGACAGCTTGGCCTCAGAGAGAAATAATGTGGGTCTTGCTCTTTGCAGAAGTCATCACATAATAAAATAAAATAAAAAAAAAAAAAAAGTTGAGTCTTGGAGATATGTTTCATGTGGGAAACTTGAGTACCCTGGTTTATGTCTGCTGAACAACTGTCAGATAGTGGGCCCTACAGCATGTGGCCCATCACCTCTTGTGCATTCTGTGATCAGAAAGAATAGGAGTATGCCAGCAATCAGCCAAAAATAACATAAAAACATATAGAAATACTTACATGCAGATTTTGCTTTCCAGAAGTTTAGTACTTTGTGCTAACACTCACATGAAGAGTTTATGTTCAGTGTCAAAGCAAGTCAAGGAAGGATATTCTGACATATGCATTTAATTTTGGGGCTCAGCTATTTCTCTAGTGGAAATGTTTATAGCTCAGCATCTCTTTCAAATGCTGGCATAAATAAATGCTCCCAATGATCCCTTTCCTGATAAAGATTATGCCGTGATGCATATTTGCACAAAAATACATTAATAAATAAGTAAATGTTTGTGGTAGGAAGGGAGGGTGAGTTACTATAACAAACAAAGACTTTGACTTTCAATTCACAGATTGCAAAGTGACCTATACTTGTAGTTCCAAAGTTTTATTAGTTAGGTTTTACCATCTAAAAGACATTTAGTCACATATATTAAAACATGGGTGCAATTTTAATGGATGATTAGATACTCAATGCAAAAAAGAGCAAATATTGGACAAAAAGGCTGGCCATTCTTTGCAAAGGAACTGGAACCTTTATACAATCCAAGCCATCTGACTTTTAATTGCTGCCAAAGAACTTTTGTAGATAGGGAACTTCACTCATTTGAGTTAATAATGCCTGATCATTTCAACAACACAAAATTACCCAAAACTATGCTAGCAGTTTCGGAAGAAGCCAATTATATATACCTTTACCATGCACAAGATTTGAAAATCTACAATTAAATGCTATGATGAAATCAAAGTTCCAAGACAGAGAAAAGACAAGCTTTACAATAATAAGTAGGTAAAGACGATGCTGCCCTGCAGTCCCACTTGGAGTATTGTCAAAGCAGATGTTCTGCCAACCTGGACTTCTTTATTTGTCTTCCCGAATTAAAGCTTCCCATATCAGAATGCAACAAAAAAAAGGTAGATAAAAGCACTCATTCACTAAAAAAAAAAGTATCCTCCTTAAAGTCTGACCTACTAGAATAATAAACATGAGAAATTACATGCTGTTCAGTCTCGAATTACCAGCAAAAATAATCAGCTGATACCAACCTTGAAAAATGAAAGCAGTGAAACTTTTGCCTGCTCTGCAACTGAGAGAGCTCTACTTCATCCTTCCCAGCACTAAAAGAATCTTTCTTATATGATCATAGCACTTGACAAGGAATTTATTTTTTTTTTAAATCAGAAAAAGACTTGTGATAGCCTTTACAGCAAACTCCCATCACAGAAAAGCCCCATCCTCTTGCAATGCTAAGCTTCTATAAGGAATTCTTGAAATACTGGAAGACAGTGGAAAAGAAAATGAGCCTTGAGCATTTCCCAAGATACCTATGCCCTTTGGCAGGACCCAAATGGGAACCTATATTCCACCTGGTCATTCAGAAAGGTTATTGTTTCCATAAGGACTCCTTGATTTACCCTGGTGATAACATTCAATCCTATTTGCAGACTTTTATTTTGGGCAAGAGGTCAAAAGAAATTTTCAGAAAGCCTGGGTTTACTTTATGTGAGGCTGTGAATAGGAAATGATCTAAGAAACTATCAAGGTGACATTGTTTACACAGCTCACTTTTCAGTCAGATTTTATTTACTTTATGGCTAAAGTTTATAATAATATTATTTCTGTTGCTCTTATAACTTCAACACAGAACAAGCTGGATTCTATTCAGACTTACCAGAACCATTCATCCCGCTGTACGTTCTGGGTCAGTTTTAACATTCCAGCATGCAATTCATCGCTGCGTTACCGACACACCTGCCCACAAGAACAACCACCAGAGCACAGTCCAACTGCAAAGGCTTTGCTTGGTCTCACCTTAACCTTGTACTTTTATCATACAAAGAGTCTGTTCGGGGCAGGGGGCATCCCCTAGACTATTTCAGTCTGTTGGTGATGTGTTTGGAATTTCTAAGTACATGTTAGGAGGAAAAACCCAAAGCTGTTGCATTCTTCTGGAGGATGCTGAGAAGGTGTTACAGCTTTTACCAACAATCTGGCTGGCTTTTATAGAGTGTGTTTTTCTCAGAAGCAGGATGGCACTGAAAGTCATAAATACTACAGACAGACAGTGATGTACACCCAATGACACTCCTACATTCATTCAGCAGAGCAGACTGATGGCCTCACTGGAAAACACGGGAGGCACATGATGAACCCAAATGCCATGTACCACAACACTCTCTACAATTATCATTTCCAGAAAATAAAGGCTGTTTCTGTATAACGAGTGACAGATGACTGCAACCTCAGCTGCCATGGCAAAATTGAGGCTCAGGGGAAAGAACAGCAGGTAACAGCTGTTTCCAAAGACACAAACTACTTTTACCTCCCCAGAAACCTGAGATTGTATTTTTTAAACTGACTTCTAGTCTGCAAACTTTATCATTATTCAATTTTATTTTGCATGTAAAATATGTTAAATCCTGGGCTGACACTCCATACAATTCAATGTAGGAGAAATGTTTACAGACAAATTAACCCTCCAAAGGTAATTATATACTAGAGGTGGGGTTGGCAGTACCAGCCTTTGCCAAGACAGCCTGACGCTTTCCTATTATAAGACCATATTTTATGTTCACTTTGCAACTTTCCAAGATTTAACAGAATAACTGTCAGATGACCCTTTCAGGTTTTGAGGTAAGTATTTTTATTGTTTTTGTTCTCCAAGAAAAGAAGGCAGTCCTTCTGCCAGCAGTGCACGAAGTATGGCACTTCACCTTTTTACTTTGAATATGAGCTCATTGTCACTTTTTTCTCTGCATAAACAGCCGCCGGGACCTCAGTGGGAATGGCCAGTCCCACTGATTTCCTGGAGGCACCAGGGAGTGAGCAGGCTCTGGAGCTGACATCTAGGAGCTGCAGCCCCTCCCAATGTGTCAGCATCCCATTTCAGCAAGCAAGTGTATCGCCTTGCTCCCGCTGAGTTAGGTACCCAGGGGGTTTTGGAGCTTGAACATGTCTGCCATGGCCAGAAGACCCCTCCAGGCTCCCACTGCCATGGGAGTCCCCAGGCACTGGAGGGTTTTTTCACTGATTAACAACTTGAGGTAGTCCCAGGGAGTCGTGGGGTCCCCGGTGTTTGCTTCATGCTGAATTTGGTAGTTGCGGCGAGCAAAGAACTGCTCCCTTCAACAAAAGTCAAAACCTTGCCTCTGTGAGTGGTAGTGTCGCCTCTCACCCCTGCCTGATTCAAGATCTTGCTGTGTTGAGTGAGAAGATCTCCCATGGGCAACATATTCCTCTGTGAAGGCAGAAGTTTCCAGCTGCCAGGGCTGGAGAGCAGCAGGTTTCTATCTCACACCCCCAAAACCCCAAGTCATGGAGCTGCTCGCACTCTCATGGAGCTCAGAAAGGCACCCTTGTATTTCTCCTGCATATCACGCAGATTCACGTTGCTCTTTTCTAACCACCCTGCAAAATGCTAGCAACACAGTTCTTGGAGCCTGAAAGTCACTGCAATGTGACTTTAGCTTTCAGAGACAAGTCATACCTTTACACTTGCAAGATGAGGTGAGGTAATATGGTAAGAATGCAATGAAAGCAACACAGAGTTCAGGGCATTTTGCAAAACCCACTGGAGAACCCAGCAAATTACTTCTGGACCAAGTTAGATCTGTCTACAAGAATCTACATCAACCTTTTTATTCTACTGTAAAGAGCATTAGACATAAAGATGGATTAAAATTTAGGTTATGTAAATAGCATTATGTATATGGGATTTTGCAGCTAATCATTGAAGTTGATGTTTGTTTTTTTTTTTTAAAAAGGCATATGCAGACACATTAACCTTTTAAAAACTAGCAGGGTAATCTTAGCAATTTAATTCCTAAATAAAATGTGGCATAACTTTGCATTATGGATCTGTGACCTTTAAATTTCTCTATCAAGAATTCAATTTTCTTTCACATCAAAATGTATTAAATCCTGGGGTGACACATCATACAATAAGATTCAGCTTAGGAGGAATATTTACAGACAAATTACACCCTAAAAGCTAATTACATATTAGAGGTGGGGTTGGTAGCACCACCTATTGCAAAGGTGGTCTGAGACCATTTTTTGTAATGTTTACTTTATAACATTGGCAAGATTTAACAGAATGAACTGTCAGATGCTCCTTTCATTTTAAGAGGCAGCTACTTTTTAGGGGTTTTTTTGTTTGTTTGTTTTGTTGGTTTTTGGGGTTTTTTTAAACAAAAGAAGGAAGTTGACCTATTCCAGGAAGTAAAGCTAACTAATATACCATTTTTGTCATATCTCAAAACTCTGATAATCTTTTTGTGAAAAGCCCAAAGCACTCAAATACATTCTGATTTCAAATTTGTTAACTGGTAACTACCATGTAGGTGTTTTATTAAAAGGATACATTTTCCCTGTGAAAATCTGTTAGGATTTTGCTGAATACTTTAACAAAGACATTTAAGACTCCTGCCACAATCCAAGGAAACTGCGAGACATTTTTTTTTGGAAAAATTTTAATTTTAGGAGCTAATTTACCAGCAGTTTTTCCACTTTAGATTCTTCTTTAGATGACATCTTCCAATATCTCTCGAGACAGTGCAGGACTGTGCAAAGTTTGGGACTGGGCACATTTCTCTATCCAAGTATCTACTCCACCAGTCCCAGGCAGTACTGAGAAGTAATGTCCTCGGCTGGATAGAGAGGGGGCCCCAGAGAGATCTGTGAAGGCTATAAAAACAGCTCAAGGCAATGCAGTGGGGTAACTGTGTGTGAGGGCTAGGAAGGGAGCCTGAGTGAGAAGAGCAGGAGTCAGCGGCTAGAGAGAGGTAGCGAGAAGAGGGAAAGGACACTGGTCTTAGCTGAGCCAAAACATGGTGAGAATAGAAACTGCACTGAATCAGGAGATGAGGAACCCCTGCAACAAGAGTCCAACTGAAAATTATTATGTGAATATATAATTAAAGACTATTTTCACAGATAGACACTGGAGCAACTCTACTATGTCAATGCCAAATCTATGAGTACTTCCCTTTGGAAAGTATTAGAAAACCCAAGAGACTGCGATATGCAACAACACACGTACAGACATGGACAACTGACAGAACTTGAGGGACAGAAGAACAAATGTGAGTGTACACGTAGAACACAAGTAAAATCTGAATACTCCTTAAGGCCCAATTTACAGACCACCTCAGAGTGTTTATGTTATAAAACAAAGCTACACTTAAGCATAATGTAAGATGAGGAGGCACCGAGCTGAAACATACATCAAGAGGAAGGAAGAGCTAATTCCTCTATCTCTGGAACTATGCTGGAGCTTTACTAGCCACACTGGAAAGTAGTTTGTTTGCAAATTTCCTTGACAATCAGAGGGCAATCATTCAAATGCCCATTCAGATATCCAGATTCCAGATATTCAGACTCAATTCAGAAGAAAGAGAATTACAGAGACTAAATACAGAAAAAAAAGGAAAAAAAGGTGATTTAGGTTAATGGCCTGCCACTGCGAAGCTCTGAACTGTTTTCTTCAGCCTAGGAAGCAATGCAATTTCCAGATAGATTCCTCCACCTGCTTTTTTTCCTTTAACACTTGAACAGAAAAGGAATATGATGAGACAGAGTCAATATTGCCAATAAAATAACAGTAAAATTTCTTGTCCTGTATACACACTGAAAAAATGGGGCTTTGATCAATATTCTTCCTCCTTGATTTAATTGCTTGATTTAAGCAGTAAGACTTAATGCAGAGCATGTGCATCACATTCCTGACACACACACAGAGCTGCTGCGTTAGGACCATTAGCAGTGGCAATCCCATCCACTGTTATTTCCCTAAATTTCCCTTCCCG